TTCAGGGCTCTTTTGCGCTGTCGAAGTGCTTTGCCGTGCTCAAAGGCGGCCAAAATTGGAGAAGAAGACAGAGTCATGGTCGAAATTGATGAATGTGAAATTGTTGCACGTCAGTAGTGGTAGGTGGTGTGGGAACGTATCGACAATCGACTGCAAGCAGTGTAGGATCAACGCGATGGCCGTCGTCTATTCAAAATGAGGCATTAGAGAGTTTACGCAGCACAATTCTGAGACAAAATCTAGTTACAAATCTATGGGAAAATTAGTCCGCATTTGGCAGAGTATTGTTCACAACATTTAAGTACGAACCTGTAATTGTGATATAAATATGAGAACTAGTCGGGAGCCTCCGTTACTGTACGAGTACGAGAGCGACGGTGCTACGACCCCACACACTCAATGCATGACGTATTTCCCAGACAAACCCCTCGTGCTCAGTCCTCATCCCCAATTGCAACGCCAACATGAGGCAAACCGATTTTACAATCGGCAAGACGGTTGCGCGATACCGATCGCAGCGCCGACGTGCCTTGAGCCTACATGCGATGACGGCGCCGTCATGGTATACCCTCCGAGGTCTCGCGAGAGCTCAACGAACCCGCAGAGATATCCATAAGATTCATATTCGGTCGATCGGTATATCTAACAACACTTTTAATATAAACGTCTATTCAGATGAGTGGGCTCTGCGCGATTTCCGATTTCAGGTCAAGGATATCGCCAAGATATCTGCAATCATGGGATGGGATACGGGGAAGACGCAACGCAATGGATTTCGGTGCGCCCCTTTGACAGCGTGCTGCATTGTGTTGCGTAAGCTTGCTTCCCCGTGTAGGTGGAAAGATGTCGAACATCTCTTCAGCATGCACGCATCCGCCCTAAGTGAAGTATTTTGGGAGGTGGTTGAATGTTTCGTGCAGGCAAAGGGTTATCTAGTAACGGATCTACGGGAAGGTCTTCTAAACGCAAGGGCAGAGCTCTATGCGGACAGCGTGAAGATGACTGGCGCGCCTCTTGATGGTTGTGTTGGTTTTTATAGACTGTACAAAAATAAAAATGACAAGACCAGGGGGACATGGCAGCCATCAAAGGAGTTGTTACTCAGGACACAAGAGGATGCATTGCCTTATCTATCAGACTATCACTACGCCAGATGGTCTGATATTTTCGTTGTATGGGCCGGAGGTCGGACGTCGCCATGATGTTACCCTACTAAGGGAAAGTGGAATTGAAGAAAGTCTTGACAATTGTCTCCTTATCAACGAGAGGCAGTTCTATTTGTATGGAGATGCTGCCTACATGCTGCGTCCATGGATGCAGGTGGCATTTCCCAGCGCAGGTGCTACAGTTGAAGAGGAATTATACAACACACGTATAAGTGCAGTTCGTGTTTCGGTTGAGTGGAACTATAAGGATCTAAAACAACTGTGGTCGCTAAACGATTTCGCCCGCGCACTGAAAGTGCGACAGGCGCCCATTGGGCTCATTTACACGGCGTCAGCCTTGCTTCTTAACTTTAAGACATGTTTGGAAGCCGGCAGACAGGTGCAGGCACACTTTAATTGTCCCCCGCCCACGCTATCCGAGTATGTAAATGCAGAGTAAATTTCGCTGCGCGGGCAAGCGGCACTTCGCCTCTCACTGGCAAAGCACAGCTTGCCCGCGCCAGTTTACCGGGGGCGAGTACAACCCGTGCCGTACCGCCTCCAGTCACCAGTGAAGCAACCTTTGCCCGGCGCACAACAGCCAAGCCGCAAGTCGCAATGGCCTTGGGTTGTCGAGAGGCCCCCAGCAAGGAAAGCCAAAAACCGGCCGTTTGCACGCCTCCGCCGCCGGCACGCACCTTCCACGTCCTGCTCAGCCCGTGGCCGGCGTCGCGCGGGCACCGCCCCCCATGCCCACGCCCTCTCGGTACGCGCCGACCGCCGCGGCCGTCGCGGCCGCCACCGCGGCCGTCGTACTCGCTGCCGCAGCGACAGCCACCACGGCCGCCGTACTCGCTGCCGCAGGGGCCACACTCGTCGCCCGCGCGCTTCGCCCACCCCCGCCGCCATCGCCACCCCCAGACACGCCACACACGCTGTCTGCGCTCTTGGCGAGCGCGCGCTACCCCGTGCCCCGCCCTGGGACCCAGTGCAAGTCGGGCAAATCCGCGCCCGACCCGCCAGACCCTGCGCCCACATGGAAGCCGCGCAAGGCCACTTCCAAACCGCCAGACCCAACCCCCCCCCACAGAAGCCTTGCAAGCCCACTTCCCAGCCGCCCAACCCTACGTCCCCACAGAAGCCGCGCAAGGCCACGTCCAAGCCGGCTGATAAGGCGCCCGAACCGTCACCGCACACATCCGCACTCTCTGCGTCGCTGCCCTGCACGCGCCGCCCGTTGCTGGTAGGCTGGACGGTGTACTGGGACATCGAGAACGTGCCGGTGCCGCACGGCGTCACGGGGGAGACGGGTGGTGCACGCGCTGCGCCGCTGCGTGTCGCAGCTGTCGCCGCAGTCGCGCGTGCTGCGCATCGTGTCCGTCGGCAATATCATCCACTTGCGGGGGACGCTCCGCAACCAGCTGCAGGCGAACTGCGTGTCCTTGATGCGCGTGGAAACGCGCGGAAGGAAGGACGCCGCGGACAAGGCCCTGATCGCAGAGCTGTGTCTGCTCGCCTGCGAGCAGGACACGCCGTTTGGTGTCGTGCTCATGTCCGGCGATGCTGACTTTGCGTACGCGTTGGCCAGGATCAGGCTGCTTGGGTACACTACCGTTGTTGTCGCGAGCCAGAGGAGGGCGATGTGATCTGAATTGATCGAGTCCGTGGCGCACTTTGTCTGGGGGCTGATCGAGGATGTGCTCTATGTTTATGGCAGTGAGCCCGAGGCACTGGGGATTACGGGCGCTGGTGAAGTCGCCGTTTTAGGTAGGAGGGTAGACAAGCTGGCAGCACAAGTGCACGCCTTGAAGAAAGTGCGGATGAAGGATGACAGTTGGGAAGCTAAATCTATCGCGGGCGGGAATGGTGTGAAAAACGCTGGTAACAAAAGCCAGCCTATGAAAGGGGAAACAAAGCAACCTCTGTTGCCAGAGGCCCGACAGCGAATTACGCAAGCTTCTTGGCAAGAGCTGCCAATACATCAATCATCTTCGCCCTCTCCACCATCGCTTGCTTTTGCTCCTCGATTTCCACAGCCGCCTTCTTCTCGTCAAGGGATAGTTTCCTACGCTTCGAAATCTGCGTTGCGTCAAAGCGCCTATCTTCATCTTCTACACGCTTTTTTCCAGCTCGTAGCGTTGTTCATCAAGCTTAAGCCGCCGATTTTCTTGCTGTTGACGAACAGCCATATCACGGACCAATGCTTCAGACGCCTCATCATCGGATTCATAATGAATTCGACGTCTGGTCTTTGATCCCGTCGTAGACGGGCTTGTGGCACGGGAGACACCGTCGTCATCTATATCCACCCCCTCAATCCTGCTACGCCGTCCCTGCCCGCGACTGAGAGCCCTGCTCCGAAGCTCAACTCCTGCAGCAGTCAGCCTCTTTTCCTTCTCCAGTCGATCCTCTTTATCCGCGTTCTCTTGCTCCATGTGTTCATCGATCTCTAGTATGAGATCGTCCAAAACGGTCTCCCGTTCCCCATAAACTTCCACGATCCCCGATGCTCCCGCCGTGCGCTTCACCTCTTTCCGCCGCTTGACTACAACTGCCTTGAACCTGTCCTCAAGGCTCTTCTGGGATGGGGGCTCCTTCCCACCAACAACAGATCTTGGGGCCGTTTGTAGAAAGGTTGCATGAGCCTCTTCAAAGAGGGCACCTTTACGGCCCCAAGGAGCAGTATGCGCTCCCGCGCAAGAAACAGCCTTCAAGAGGTGCACGTCTGCCGCTTCGGTGAATCTAAAACGCCAAGCGCGTGGTTGTACTTGGGACGGTTGCAGAGGCTTTGATGGTGGACTGAGGCAGGTCCCAGAAGGGTTTGGCAGGATGGGAGGGGCAGCGGAAGGGGTGTTTGAGTCCCCATTTGATGCGGGGGAGGGGGAAGGGATACCGGCTGTCGTTGAGGGAGGAGCAGGCACTAGATGCTGGGGTGACGGAAGCAGTGATGCCATGGTCTAGTGGGTTTTTTGTCAGGGTTGAGGGTTGGGGAGGGATGTGGGGGTGTGTGGGGGGCCGTAAGTGAATGTGGGAAGGTAGTGAAGGTGCGGGAGGAGGAAGGCGGAATTCCATATGTCAGCGCCGAAAGTCGTTCACATCGCGCCAAATACAGAATACAAATTGGCTCTTGTGGGGGGGTGCCCCAGTCCTACTTATTTTTAATTTCGTTAAGGAGGCGAAAGAACGAATATCTGAAACTGCATCCGGGGGCAAATCCCGTTTCTTTGAGACACCTGTCTTGAATCCTGGTTTTTTAACGAGAATTTTCGTAGAATTGCTGCTTCGTAAACTCTCTATTGATTGTTTTTGCGATGAGAGTGACAGTATTTTACGAACTGTTTTATATTTTCGACCTCACACAATATACTGTACGTGACAGTATTTCCTGAATGACTCTAATTTTATGATGACACTATTTGCCATAACTGGGTGTACTAGTATGAGAGTGGTGGAGGCGGGCAGGGAGAAGGATGCAACCACTAAAATGCATTTCGAAAAATATCACATAGTGCATGCATCTCCGAGTACTACCGTATTGGCCTATGAGACGCAAGGAAGCGGCAAGGAAGTGGCAAGTTCCATCAAGCTCCATCAAGCACCACAAGTTTACCAACAAGCGGCGAGTTGAAAAATATCCAAAATTTGCACCACTGAGTCGGTTCCGGACCACAATCGATGTGACCTTGTCTAAACGAACATCTTAGGACGCCCCGTTAAAGTATTTACGACGTACCGCTTCCTGACGTTTCGTGTCGCCTTGATGTTGACGGACTGAAACCACCGAGCTGAGTTCTTGATGCTTGCAGTCTCTTGCTCAAACGTAACCCTTCGCACTGCAGCTGCGCACCTTTCATCATGGCGACCACTTTTGTCCCGTCAATCACAATAACCTTCAAATCATCGTTCGTGTCTTTGAAGAAAAGCGCATGTAAGCGACAAACGTCCTTTTCTTATTTTCCATCAAAGACACCACTGTGCAGCCAGAAAACTGCTGGTTTGGATGAAAAGGTTGCCCCATCAAAAAAAGGAGTTTCTACGTCAGCGTTTGGGCGCGGAACACAATTCCCACGCCGAATGGTTGGTCTCTACGAACTCGAAAGACAGGGAATAGATCTCAAGACCTTCATATCAAAGGACACTCGCGATGACGCCGCCTTTGCTGCAGTGGTTGGCTTTTTTGTTCTTTCTATTGTCGTGTTCCCTCTCATTACCCCCGGCCCGTCACTGGAAGGTCCACTGGCCGCTATTGCCGGTGTACTCCTGACAATATGGGCTGTCGACTCTCTTTCCCTAGGAGGAATGCTTGGCCGAGCGATGTCCCTCGCCGTGCAGAATAGAAAGAGAGTCGCATGTCATGAGGCCGGACATTTTCTTGTCGGTTTCTTGCTGGGGTTTGATATTGAAGGATATTCGTTGCCAAGCCCACGAGCAGTTCTTCAAGAAAAAAACGAAGCTCCAGGTGTTCGGTTCAGTGCATGTGGAGCATCGGGAGATGCTCATCGTGTCTCTGCAGTGGGTATGGCTGGTATTGCTGGCGAAGTCTTAAAGTATGGGACGAGTGAGGGTGGTGCAGAGGATATGGCAGATGTGTCAAGGGGTATAAGGAGGTGTTATGGAGAAACAAAGGTGAGGGAAGCTACAATGAAAGGAATTGTGAGGTGGGGACTTATTGAGTCTGTGCAATTACTCCGGGAGCATGCTGAGGCTCACGACAAGCTCTGTGAGGCGATGCTTGTTGGAAGCACAACCGAGGAATGCTTCTCTCTTGTCGAAAGATACGTTGACCAAGGCAAGCTGTTAGAAGCAAAAGCGGCATAGGCCTGATCGTACTCATGGCACATGTGTGCATTTATGATTTACAACGACACGGGCTCTACCCCAACTGAACATGGAGACATGTTACTGTTTCTATGTGGCAATATCCAGTTTTCGGTTTACGAATTGCATGCGACGGAATGTGGTTTCCATGAGTTGCTCTGGTCCGAAGCTAGAAAGGAAATGGTGACCAGGAACTTTTAGAGCCCTGTTCCGGGAATGCCGATGTGGACATTCAAACGAGAGCCATGAATTCTTTTATAGAAGGAAATGGGGGGTCAGCAACATGAGCATTTAATTCGTTCCAATGTATTGTGGGAGTTTACCTTCAATCTTATAGCAGTGAATCAGGTATTTCTGACTGCGCACAAATCTCTTTCGACTACTTTCATCCTGTGTAGACCAACAGATTACGTCTCCAAGGCAAAAGCGACCCCAATGATCAACCCTTCATTTCATATACTGCAAAGGTGAAAAATGCCCAACGCAAGATCAGCACTGCTCTCAACTCAAGCAAAGGTGTGCAGACTACACGGGCATTGCATTCACGAAGTCTGAGACCAACTTTCAGTGTCATAATGTGATACGTACGGTATTAAAGAAATTAAGCAACCGAAATGATTATGGCATGACATACGGCCCTCAGACTTAACTAGACACGCCACACCCACGTGCATTGCAAGACAAGATTTGATCAGCATCCCATCTCATTTTCCTTTTCGGGCGGGCCGAGCTGGTGAAATAAGACATAACGGCCATCAGGGCACCCCTCCCGTGAGCTAGCACTAAGAGGTGCGAGGGGCCCAAATGAGTACTTTCGTTGGTTGGGTGTTGGTGCATTGAGTAATGGACCAACACCCAACCGACTTAATTGCTGTCGGATCCCCCAATACCCACCTGAGTATTC